CTTAAAGATTAAACTGGATACATTTTCTAAAAAATGTAAACTTAGAAAAACTGAAGTTTAGATTTATTGTAAATTAGACTCTTGTAAAAGCTATGTCATATTTCTTGAAAAATACTGAAGATCATATACATCTTATTTATTGGCACAGTGTTCTTTTTTAGATTTATTACCTTCTAGTTATTTGTATATGTTCCAATGTTTTATAACTGAAGCTAAAAAGATACATTTTGGATGTTTTGAGGAAATGTTCTGCTCACATGTAAAGACAATCATTTTCTCAGAACAACATGGTTAAAGACCAGAAGAAGCAGAAGAGCGAACACCTCCTCCTACCTGCAGTAAACCTGGCAGATACAATTGTTGATAATGTAATCTGATTTCAACCTCCGGTAGTCCTCAAAGATGTCTTTAACGGCTGAAACCAACAACACCAGCAGAATAGGAATGACAGAAATCTCCGGCTGGAAGGCCTCCACTGCAGGAAKAAAGTTTAAAGCGGCGAGGAAGATGAAGTAGATGTTGGCAAAGCGATGGAGCTGCTCAAAGAGGTTCTTGGGCAGGAAGGATAGGAAGGAATACTTTGTGGTCCGAATCTTGTTGCTTTTGTACGAAGTCAGAAGTTGTTTCAGCTCCTCATCCTCTGTGAAGGAAGGTCCGACCGTCCTCTTCTTCAAGCTCTCCTTTACAGAGTTGGGAAACAGTCGCTCCAAGCTAAACATGAGTCCAAAGTGGATTTTAGCTCCCAGTCAATCGAGCTCTTATTCAGCCTGTACAACTCCTCTGGTTTCATTCCGGTCCTTCGTTAACCTGATTGTTCTGATGAGGACTCTTTGCCTCATCGCGCTGAAGCAGCGAACAGAAATAACAGGAAAGCTTGGAGTAATGACAGCCTCCGTGACGCCCACCGGCGCCACTCCTGTACAGAGCAAACTCAAGGTTCAACTTTTACAACCGCAACAAAAAAAAACCTCAACCATTACATAAGCAGCAAATACAACTGGAGGAAATCTCAAACCAAGCYAAACCCACAAACTGACAGATTTCCAGAAGAAATGATAAAATCTGAGCTGAATGATGAATGAAACATAAAAACAATAAATCAGCTCTGATTTWGGCCAAAGGCAACAAAGTTTTAAAAGCTGCAGAATTTATTTACACCATAATTAGACTTTTATCACCTTACATCTGCTTGTTGGAGCCGTTTGATGGTGAATAGTTTAAACGCCACAACAAGTTGTGTTTCTGACCTGTCACACTATTACGTTTAAGATAACTTGTGCCGACTTGTGAAAATTTTGTTATGATCGTTTTATTTAAATCGGCTTATATTCAAGCTAATTGTTTGCATTACAGTAGTAAAGGTCTAAAAGAGGCTTTCAGTAGGTTTTTTTTAAATTCTATCTTCATCTTAGACATATTTAGTGTTGGATAAGGTCTTCAGTGAGAACATTTACTTTTTTTGTCCATTTTTCTTCTGCCAACCTGGAAACTGTTCAGCTCTGAATTATAACACATGCAGAACTATAAACAAAGTCTTGTTTTCTTGTGTTTTCAATAGAACATAGAATACAATATTTATCCTGAAGTGCTGAAAAGTTAAGCACTCCTCACCGACTTTTAGACGTGACACAGTTTACTGTTATTCCCCTGCAGGTTTTAAAAAGTCTTCTCACTCAAGTTAAAACAAATCAACATGAAATTCAGGAGAAGCTCAGAAACCAAACCACAATTTTTGCTTCAAGCTGACCTGACTAGAAACGTCAACTTTCCTGCCAGCCGTTCATTTTTATGTTGTAGTTCAGCCTCTGACCGCTAGTTGGCAGCAGTGAGCCACCCATTTGGCTCCTCTACCTCTTGAGCGCCACAGAATAAGGGTAGCATTAGTGTTGTGAGTAAACATTAGCTTCATGCTCTGATAGCTGAATCTGAACGGAAAAGACCGATACCCTTTGCCTTCTAAGCTGAGGTAAGGTTACTTATTTGTCAGAATGTCTTTATTTTAAGCCAAATTAAGTGTTTTGTGCGCTCTTTTTTCCAACTGTAGTCACGTTACGGAGGGCAGGCAGGCATGCATATAGCGCATGCGTAGCGTCTCGAGCTCGGCACTCCCCCCGTGACATAAAACTCTGTCTGTTGCTCTCAATGTCTGGCTGATCGCATCAAAGTCC